AGTGGCGCTGTGGCTCAAGTGGTAGAGCGCTAGCCTTGAGCTGAAGAGCTGAGGGACAGTGCCCAGGCCCAGAGTTCAGGCCCCATGACTGGACCCAAAACAAAAAAAAAAAAGAAAGATGTCTCCTCAGTAAACCCCTGCTCCCTACAAACCTTATTTAAAAAGGCTCTTTGGGGGCTGGGAAGGTGGCTTAGTGGTAGAGTGCTTGCCTAGCATGCATGAAGCCTTGGGTTCCATTCCTTAACAGAAAAAGCCAGAAGTGGCACTGTGGCTCAAGTGGTACAGTGCTAGCCTTGAGCAAAAGAAGCTCAGGGACAGCGCCCAGGCCTTGAGTTCAAACCCCAGGACTGGCCAAAAAAAAAGAGAGGGGAGGGTTGTCTTTGCAGAAGTAATTATGTAAGGGACTCACAGATAGGATCATCCTGAATTAGGTAGGTAGGCCCTAGATCCAGTGACAAGTGTCCTTATAAGAAACAGAAGAGGGCTCAGTGTTGAGAGCATTTGCCTCGTAGGTGAGAGTGCACCCCCCATCCTGGGGGAGGGAGAGAAATCAAGAAACAGCCCTGTGTGGCAGTGCGCACCTGTAATTATAGGGAAATTATAGAGACTGGGGCAGCAAGTGACTCACTCCAAGCCAGCCTGGGCTACATAGGGAGTACCAGGCCAGGTTGGGCTAGAGGTTGAGACCCTGTCTCTAAAAAGCAAATGAAAAAGGGGTGAGGAAGGAAGGTCAGCAGAGACTGAGTGGTGTGGCCAGCCACAAGCTGAGGAACACAGAGCCACCAGGAGCTGCAAGAGGTGTGAAGCAGCGCCCCCTCCCCACCCCCAGAGCCTTTGAAGGCAGTATGGCCCCGTGACACTGATGCAAAACTTCCGGCTTCCAAACTGAGCAAGAATAAAGTTGCTTTTGTTTGATCGTGTTTGGTGATAGGGAAGGACACGGGTGTTGCAGTTGTTAGTAGAAACCAGGAGAAAAGGAAGCAAGGAGTTAGAATTTGGTGCACAGTGAGACCAGCCAGCCTGGGACAGAACCTCAAAGCACCCTGCACGGTGTCTGGATATGACACTGAAATGTTTAAAGGCTGGTGGTACAGGTAGACACTCGTGGCTCGAGCGGTGGGGTGGAGTCCGGGACACCTCCATGCACCAGACATTGACCTCACCCCGCCCCCCATGACTGAGCTCCAGGAGTCCTAAGCCAGGGGGCCAGGGAGTTCCTGCTCCACACGAGCTTGGACGAGTTTCTGTGCAGCAGCATGGGAGCAAGAGAGCACACTGGGGCAGGAACCCAGAGCAGATGCAACAGGAGTCAGCAGGGAGAACGAAAAGGTGGACGTGAGGAACACCAGGCTGCTGCTCACTTCTCAGAGGAGGCTGTGTGTGTGTAGACACGGAAGAGCATGGCAAAGGCGGAAGAGAAATGTGACTTAGGGGGAACGTGTGGGCTTATTCCTAGAGACACTGAATCTCAGGCAAGGAGGACCCCAAGATCCAGCAGCAGTGGGAGATGGGTATGGGCACCAGAGGCTGGAGCCAGCCCCAAGTGTATTCAGGAAAAAGCTGTATCGTTTGTGTGTACTGGGCACCAGTGTGGACATTTTCCCTGAATGGCTGGTCTATGGTAGGAGCTGGCATACTGTGGGGTCTCAGGCTCTGGTTAGCCTCCCCCCCCATCTGTTATATTTTTGAATAGATGAAAGGAAAAACAAAAACAAAAATTATTTGACATGCAAAAGTATGTAAAATAAATTTGGGTGTAGCCCAGAGGGTGAGCACTTGTCAACAGCATGAGGCAATTTCTCTCTCTTTCTCTCTCTCTCTCTCACACACACACACAGAGGTCCCCTCTTCTCCTTAATTTCAAGGTTCCTTACCCCAAAGGCATCCACTTTGACCAGTTTGCGTGTATGTGTGAATATCGTATTTGAATCACAGCATTCCTTCCTTCCTACTCACTCCATGCTGCCCACCCTAGGGTTTGTTATGCTGCTTTATTATTATTCAAGCAGCATCACAGTGTTTGGTTGGATGCCATGTTGAGACTCAGCGATCGATCATGTCCAATTCATTAGTAGGAACAGCGCTACAGGGAGTGGCTGCGAAGCTGTTGTACCCACATGTAAGCTGAGCAGAAAGATGTATTCCTACAGGGGGAACAGTGTCCAGGGCGATACAGGCAGACCAAGGCGAGGGAGGGTGGGGTCAAATGTAAGAGTGCACAAAGAACAGGAGGTTAAGAGATAAGGACGGCCTAAGAGGCTGAGTCACAGGATTCCTCTTTGGTGAGGCAGAGAAAGCAGAGCCAAGGGGGACTCTCGAAAGTGGTCACGGAGAGGAGGAGCCCAGGATGTGAGGTATCAGCTGAGGGGCTGGCAGGGGGAAGGTCTCACAGGCCAACAGGTGTACACAGAGCTACACACTGACAAAAGGGATTCAGGGCAAAGGGAGGGAGTTAGGGCAAAGGGGACAGGGAGAGTAGGAATGGAAAGTGCTGTGTGGTGACAACATAGCCTCAGGCGTGGCCTGTGATCAGGTGAGAGGACCCCAGGAGGTAGGTCAGGAGGCTGGAGGAGCTGGCTGGACCTTGAGCTGAATCAAGCACCCCCCCCTCAAGGTATGTCTCACCCAGCCCAGGACCAAGGAGCACAAGCTGCCCTACCCTCCCTTCCTCCCACCCCCAGGAGAGCAAAGGGCTAGAATGGCAATAAAGTCAGCCTCCGGGCTGCCAGGCCTCACTCAGGACATCTCCAGGGAAACAACAAAGACTCCGCCTCCTGAACCACTGCGAGGGGGGAGGGCCGGAACTGGGGGACCGGAGGCACAAGCTGCAGGGCCTCCAGCTGCAGGAATCTGGACTGGACTGGCCTAGCCACAGGCTGGGAAAAGGAAACAAACAAAGCAGCCGTCCAGGGCAGGTTTTCTCTATCCTACACGAGAATCCACTCATGGCCACCTGTCTCATCCCCAATTCCGGCCCCAGCCTCCAGCTGGATTCAGTTGACCGTGGATGCAGACACGGACAGACAGACAGACGGACGGGGATGGATGGACAGACAGACACACACACACACACACAAAGCTTCCCTCACTTCACAAAACTGCCGCACTGAGATGGCCTAGAATGCTGGGGTTCACCCAGCCTTAGCCCCACCTGCTCCTTCCATGCCCCAGGAAATCCCTACTCCACCCTACGTTGGACAAGTGGGCCAGTTCTGGGGGTTGTCAGATGAGGAAGGCTAGACCCAAGGCCAGGTGGCCCTGATCTGGCTCAGCGACCCGACCAGACTTGAGTCTCAGGCGGTGGCCCAGCACTGGGACTCCACGCGCCATGGAGAGCAGGAAGGGCACTGGCAGGCAGGCAGAGTCACCACCTACACCACCTGCTGCTTCCTGGTAGAACAGGCTCCACCCTGGTCCAGGAGGACTCCAAGGCCCCAGGATGGTATCCATCCCTTTCCAGAATCCCCCCCCCCAGACATCCAGGATGGTATCCATCCCTTTCCAGAATCCCCCCCCCCAGACATCCAGGATGGTATCCATCCCTTTCCAGAATCCCCCCCCCCCAAACATCCAGGAAGGAAAGCCACAGGAAGGCTAGGAAAAAGGAAGGACCCATAAGCTGAGAGTAAAAAGCAGAGCGGGACGTCCCTCCTGAGTCCCCAAATTGAGACTACTTCAGACTCAGCCCCAGACAACCCTGACCCTGACTCCCACCCCAATTCAGTTTTCTGTTCTGGGTCAGAGTGCTAGGTTTCTGCAAGAAAGGTGGTCCCACGTGAAGGACTTTTCGGGAACACTCCTGTGGGATGAGTCTTACGATTACCCTTTATGGACCTGTTATTCTGGGCAAATTATTTAATAACAAGCAGTGCCTTTTCAGATAGAGGGCTGGCATGAGGCCCCACCTGGCCAGAGCCGCAGGTGCTGAGGGGAGCAGGGAGGAGTATCTAGTCCTAGGAGGAAAGTGGGTGAGCCCTGGGCCCCCACTTCGCCCTGATCTCTGAAAGTAAACAAAGTGAGCAGACAGCCTGGCTGCCCATCCCGAGCCGAGGCCTGGCCTGGCTCACGTGGACGGGTACACACACCTGCCTGGCCAGCTGACATCCCTCACCTACCAGACACACATGCCGGCAGGCTGACTCACCCAGCACCCTCCTCACCCCCACCCCAGCGCCTCCAGGCCTATGCCCCACAACACAACACGGTCGGTGCCCCCCTCTCCAGGGGCTCGGCCCCAGCCTGGGTTTGCTCTGCAGTCTCTGGAGTCTGTCTGTGTCATAGGGTGTCCCCCCCCCCCCCCCCCCCCCCCC